GTGCACATTTTAGCACTAGATCTAGTGCCATTTTTGCGCTAGATCTAGTGCCATTTTTACCACTAGATCTAGTACTTTTTCGGATTAGTGCTACTAGCACTAACCACTCGCACTACGCCCATCTCAACACATTTACATACATGGAATTCCAAGCACTAGATATGTGAATTCTGTCACAGACTGGTTGTGTGAATTCAAAGAACCTGGTTCGGTTGCGGACTAGTGTTACAATTTTCTGTATGATTCTTTCACTCACAAAAACACAAATTTTCAATTGTTGCATTTCTTTGTCTGCAGAAAGGAGCATTTGGTTCATGGGGAGAGAAAGCTAACAAAGATTTGAAGAACACAAGAGGAAAGTCATTTAGACATGAGAAGACTAAAAAGAAGCGTGGTAGTTATCGTGGTGGTTCCATCAGCCAGACTGTAAATTCTATTAAATTTGATAGTGATTAGGTGAATATTCATGTTGGTAACATGTGGACAGCGTCAAAGTGTTACATACTTATTTAGTATCTGTTGTATTTTATTATGTTGTAACTGAAAAACAACTGAAACCTCTGTTTTCATGCCATCTATTCTGTGAAGAATCTACAGTTGCGCTAATACCATAAAAACTCCAAAATGTTAACCACTTTGAAATAATTAGTATGGAAAGTGGTTTACTTTTTAGAATAGTAATTTTTGTTGAAATTTTGAGTAAAAATCAGTGATTACACAAATACTAGATGATTGAACAGTGCTTCATTTATTGTCAGAATGCAGTATTTTTGTCACAACACAATCATGTAGTTTTATCCTCCTTCCCTCGCTTCCTCAAAAAAAATTTATTATGAATATGACTGACTTATAGTCAAGTACTGCAACTTTGGTAATTGTGAAATTTACTTAGAAAAATTCTGTTTGAGATTGTCAATATTTAAATGTCAAAAAGTGTTGATCAATCGATCAAGTGTTATAAAACATTCTATCAAGACAAAACAAATTGTACATATTATTTCGTTAGAGAAAAGTAATTCATTTTTGTGTTGACGTCTCAGTAGAATATGAACGTTTACAATGTTTCCAAAGCTAAGTACTACTGCAACCGTAAAAATAAAAAAATAAATGAAAAAGTTCAAATCGAAAAAATTCTTGTTCCTTGCACAAATTTCATAATCTTAGAATTTAATTAAACTCTCTATTCTACCCCCTCATTGTACCATCACTTGCAGCATTCAGTCACTTCAACATGGTTTACCAACAATTGTATACAGCGCCCTCTGGTGATAAACTTCAATATTTCTTCTAATATTTTTGTCAATTATTATTATCTTCTTTTTGTTCAGCAAAAAACATTTCTACTAAAGGCGTAATAAAAACTGTAGTTTGTTTATCTGGTTACCAGGTAAGATGTGAACCTAGTAACAACCACACTTACCGTGTGGTTCATATGGTCCACATAATACTTGCATTGCAGAAGTTTTGTACGGTATTGTACCCGCATTTTCTTTCTAAACACTCAAGTCCCAAGGTCACTGTATTTACTTAGTGTAATCATGAATGTTGTATCTTATTGATATTGGAATGTAAAAAATGTTTGACCTTTGGAATAAACTGCTATTGGAAATAGGTACATTTAACTCAGCTTGAATAATCTGTTCCTCCAGATGTATGCAATTGAATATAAGCCAGTACGAATCTGGAATAATCAGTTTTCCCACATGTATGCACC